TCAACAGGAAGCTTTAATAAGCATTCCTCCTCCTAAGGACAAATATCAAATTGTTTATTATATTTTTTTTCTTCAAGGCGTTGCAATGCTTCTAGGCTGGAATGGTGAATAAATCATAGAAAATTATTAAATCATTAAATATAAAACTTTGCACATCATGATTGATATCAAATTCCTTTGTAGTATTTATTACTGCATCGGTCTTCTTTCACACCAGATTCCTTGGATCTCCTTATTCCGATAATTTTCAGAGCTATTTTTCTATTGTTAATATGGGATCAACATTATTATTCCTCACCCACGCTTTGTTTACACAAAAGACGGTTGGTTTATTGATATTTAAGCAGTTAAATATTTATGTTATCTAATTTTATTTAATTTTATTACAATTCAGGCGAATGCTTCGGTCCGATTGGTCTTCTCCATTAGTCTCGCTGCTTTTACTTTCTTTGCCATGACAGTATCCACACAATTCTTAGAGTTATTTACACCAACAGAATACTTTTATTTTACTATCACGTTTGTCTTTCTTACTGGAATGACAGCCGCTTATTATCAAAATGCAATATTTGGGATCGTAGCTTTATTTCCTCCAAAATACATGCAAGCTGTTATGAGGTAATGAGATTTTGAAAAATATTTTGTTGGGTGACTTATTTTTTTTTTTATATATGCTAACGCCTTTCTGTTCTAAATGAATTCGTTATTTGATTAAGTGGTCAAGGTATGTTAGAAATTAAAGTTTTCATAACCTTTTAATTTTCTTGAAAGGTAATTAAATTTTTCTGAAATTTGATTTAGGTTTGGCTGGCCTTGCTATGTCATTTTCTCAAATTTTTAGCGCATTTGCTGCTGAACCAAAACAAATTCAAACTGACGAAAGTTCAACACGCAGCGCTTTTATTTACTTTCTTTCCGCTTTTGCTGTTATATTCCTTTCATTAATTTCGTATTTCATTCTTATTCGTTTGCCCCTTTATATATACCACGTTACACCCAACTTGACTTTTGTGGATCGAAGCATAGACAATCCTTTAAGAGGCAGATCTTTTAAAGACACATTTACCAAAATTTATAAGCTAATTTTCGCGGTAGCTTTTGTTTTTTGTATGACTTTGAGCGTTTTTCCTTCTATAACCTCATTCATCAAGTCTGTGGCTCCTGATGATACGAAAAACAAGTTTCAATACGATTATTTATTTATACCGTTACATTTCTTGGTTTTCAATTTTGGGGACATGCTGGGCAGATCTCTACCATCACAAGAAGTATTGGTGATAACCGATCAGAATCAAATAGCATTTATGTCAATCTGTCGTGCTATTTTCTTACCAATACTGCTGTTTTGCAATGTTGACGCTGGATTACAGGGGAAAAGAATTTTACCGTTGCTAATAAATAGCGATTTGCTATATTTCTTGATTATATTTCTGTTTTCTGTTTCCAATGGTTACATTGGATCCTTAGCGATGATGGCTGGTCCACAAGTGGCAGGTGTCGAAAGGGATCTTGCAGGAACACTTATGTCATATTTCTTGGTAGTCGGATTGACCATTGGTTCAATCTTTTCTTTTCCATTACGAGCCATCAGTTGTGGCTTAATCCATTTATAATGATACATAGCAAATTTAATTTCAAGTTTAATAGCATTGGCGGATATAATTAAATGGGGTGATTAGTCATACAATTTTGAAATAAGATTTATAAATGTTTTTTCTTGTACAATGTATTTGCCAAAAAAAAACTTTTTTTGTTATTTAAAAGAAATAGAACTGTCGCAATTAATAAATATATTCATTTATTTATCTTTTGACAAATAAATTAAATTTAGCATGTTGCAAATTTTAATCTTAACAAATATGTTGACTACCATAAATTTTAAAATGAATAAATTATCTATTTTTACTACGTACGAAAATTAATACAAATGATTATTTAAATTTACACAAAGGTAATCACAAAATTTATGCTAGCTATGATCAACCTCCAATTCGATTATCGTTATCATTGTTCATTCTCCTGTTTTCTGTGACAGGTGTTTGATAGAAGGCATTAACTGTACTAACATCAGATTCGGCTCCATATTCCATTAGCAATTGAACAATTTCAGTATAATTCTTTTCTATTGCATTCTTTAAAATTGATTTCGCTGGTTTAGCTCCGTGTTTTAACAATAACTTTACCATTTCAATATTATTTTGTCTAACGCTCACTGATAATGCCATATTATCTTGAATGTCGACTTTAGCACCAGCCTCTATCAATAATTTTACCATTTCAATCTTTCCTAAACGAGCAGATTGTATAATTGGATAACCATTGGATTCGTTTGGTGATGCACCACGTTCAAGAAGTAGAATTTTAGCTAGATTATAAATTCGGCCAGTGGGATCTGGCTCCTTGAAAAACCATTGAGGAATCGGTCGATTTGCATAGGGAATAACATTTTGACCATTAAGCCTGGAATATAATAAATCCAATTGATTCAGAACGTCTTTATTGAAAAATTTCCATTTTAACCCTCGAGATAATGCTCGTTCACAATCGTTATTATATCTCCTCATTAACCATTGAGTTTTTACACTCGTCTGTGAAGTGGCAACATGGTGAAATGTACGTGATACGAGAGCAAGATCCGGATTCTTTGCAAGAACAAATATATATTGTAAAACTTCAAATGGGAGTCTTTCTATGCTTTCTTCAAAAACACAGGACATCCCTTTCGCAATATTTCTGCAGAATACGGTCTTTTGACCCCACCTTAGATAAGAGATTATGTGAAGAAAGAGAAGGTGTTTGCCAATTCAATTTATGATGTTTAGATTAAATATCGGAGTTCTTGTTTGATCCTTATTTAGAATTGATTATCGACGACATCCATTTAAATAATTGTTACATTTGTTGCAACTTCAATGGGGAATGATTCTCTAAGTTAATACGTGTAAGACAATCGGCTTCAATCAATGTTTCTTTAAAGAACCTATCACCTATGAGAAACAAGTTGCTTCCCATTCAATTTTCTTATTTTGGTAAGTTGTACTGAGGTAAAGCAAACCCGAATGATATCAGGTGATCATTAACAAAGTTTAAATGGAAATATAAATAAATAAATACATATTTATAATAATAATACGTACCCAAAAAATTACAATACGTACTGCAATAACGATAATATATCGATATACAGTATAATAAAATATACACTATACATACATATTTATCGATATATACGTATTATTATACTAATTTTACTTATTAAAGACTTAATTTAAACCTTCAGAAATTTGCAAACAAATTAATTCACTATACATATAAACACATCTTCCTTGACATGGCTGGCGGAAAATTTATCCGACTACTTGTTACAAATCTAATTTAAATATTACGTAGTATTTTTCTGAAGATAATTTTGTAACGACTTGGTCAATATCTATATTTTAGAACTCTACAAAATTATAGGATTCAAGACAAGGTATCCTTAAGCTTGGTAAAGATATCTTCGTTTAAACTAGCCCAGTTATTATAGTTTCTACGTACGTACGTACTTACTAATTTTTGTTTAAAATTTATATCTCGGTAGATCCGACGCTGCATGAAATTGAATCCTTATAAATGATAGGTAGTCTTTATACGTATACAGGACTCCAGAACCCGGTCTTGGGACTTAGCCCTTCCAATTTAAGATGGATTAGTAGCAGATCGACCAGGAATTAATAAAAATTTTAATAAAGGGGGTTGGTATTCGTACCCCCACATAAAAATTTTTAAAACTTGATTGAATAAAAATATCTCGACAACCATCTGATCAAATTCAATGTTTGTTTTTTTGAATTCTACGAATCAATAGAGTTCAAATAAAATATTTTTATTAAATTTGGTCAAATGGATGTCAAGATATTATTGAAGAAAAATCAAAATGTTTATCAAAATAAGAAGCTGTGAAAAATGTTTTCAAACTTTGAGCGAAGATATCTTGACAACCATCTGATCAAATTCGATGAATGTTTTTTTATTTGGATTCTATATATCCTTAAAATTTAAATAGAAAAAAAAGTTGAGGTTTTGAAATATTTTAATATTAAATTTTAAAAAAATTTTGGGGGTTTTTTTTGTTAGTTTTTTTTTTAAGTTAGAGTAGTGTTTAGATTAGATGGTTATCAAGATATCTTAAAGTTTAGAAAAAATCTTAATATGGTTTTTATTTTGATAGATATTTTGATTTTTTTTAATTTTGAGTAAAGATATTCTAATAATCAAATTTGATAAATTTTTTTATTTAAATATTATAAATCTATAGAATTTAAATCAAAAAATTTATTAAATTTGATTAGGTGGTTGTCAAAATATTATATTTAAAGATTTAAAAAAAATTATAATTTTAATAAATATTTTAATTTTTTTTAAATTAAGTTATTTTGATAATTAATTAATATTTTTTTTATTTTATATTATGAATTTATAGAATTTAAAATATTTATTAAATAAGAAATGAGTTGTATATATTAGTTTGTATAATATCATATACTGTATATTAATTTTTTTGGCTAATAAAATTATAATACTAATACTTAAAATTTTTAAATTTGAAAATGCAACATATTTTATTAACTAAAAAAAATTAATATATATGAAATTATATAAAACCAATTAATATATATAAATTATTTCTTTTATTAAATTTAGTTAGATAATTGTTAAAATATTTTATTTAACTTTTTAAAAAAATTAATATAGTCAACCCTCTCTAAATACATAATATCAGAACCATAGTAAAAAATTTTAAAAATATGTATTTAGAGAGGTTATGCATTTATGGTGGTAAAAATCTATAAGTATTATATTAGTTGGGCA